TCTAGATAAAGATAATAGATAATTTCATTTTTATCTAGATAAAAAAAGGATATTTTCAAAAAATGTTATTTTTTGGTCAATATTTCATATTCTATTAATATCTATGAAGACTCAATTATAATCAGGGGCGTATTTAGAAATGTCTTATTGGGAGGGGGGGAGGTACAAACAAAAAGTTCAACAAAAAAGTTCATCTCAACAAAACTGTCGTTATTCATAACCAAATAATCAAAATACAAGTGTTTGATAGAAACATAAACTTTTATTACAGAAATTTATAATAAAACATATTTTTAAATATAATTTTTATAATTACAATAACTGAAGACGTCTGGGGTGTTAATTAGCATATGCATCAACTCCTTCAGGTTTTATAATTATTTCAGGATGTATATTAAGGTGTATTCAGGGTATATACAATGGTAATCCGTTTAATCGATGGTATCATATTATCATGATATATTGATGTTCCAGTATTTCACCGTGTGCCCGTGCGTGAAAAAGGGCCTACAATAATAAATAAAGTATAAAATACGGTGAAGGGGGGGGGCACGGGCTCCATGAGCCCCCTCTTAAATACGTCACTGATTATAATCATTATTATCAATAGGTACCTAGGTGTTTAATGTTTATTCTAGTAATGTAGTGTACCATTAAGCAGTATTTATAAATAATGTACAATATTTAATGACAGTTAAACACTAAAATGTTACAGAAAAAAAAAAATAATAATAAAAATTGCTTTATACGTATCAGAATGAATACAGAATACATAAAAAAATATTTTTAGTTAACAATATTGTTTTCCATATAATATTAATTTGATGATTTTCATTATTTTATAAGTAGTTACAACTTTACGGGTTTCAAGAGTGAAGTAATAACTATTCAGCATATGAGTTACGTGTGTATACTAAAATCAAATACCTACTATATTTGGAACTTCCATGGGAAAATAAGAAATTAAGTTTAAAAATACCAAAAATATTTTCCCGGCATGAAAATATAAATAAATCGACATAGGTACAAAGAAATAATAATTACTTATTAATAATACACAAATTATGATGATAAGATAAAAGATGACAAAAATCTATCTAAATAAGTCCCAACACTGCACATAATATACGTTCTATCGTAATCGAGTTGGTGTAATATTTCATAATCAGTTTTTCCTTCAAAATTATAGTCTACTAATCATACGACAAATATTTGTCAATCTTTCCATTCTAAATTTAATAGCAATTTTTATCATCACCATCGGAATTTGCATTTATTTGTGAAAGTTTTGCTAGACATACAGACCGATATATACGTAAAAATTAAAAGCAGTGATACGCCTCGACTTCGACAGCCAAAAACAATTTTAATATATATTTAGGAATAAAACAAAAATATAATAAAGGAGACATTTCACGTCATGAATTCATTAAAATGGTGTGCTATTAAAATAAACGTAAATAAAAATGTTGGTAATTGTTTAGTTACATTTTATACTTATCAAAATACTGTATTAAAATATAAAAAAATATTTTATAACGAAATTGATTTATTCTTATTTTAGCTCATTCTGACCTTAGTAGAGAAGTTAACATTATCTTATGTTGGAGTTAACACTATGTCCATATAGGATATTACTAGAGCGCGGATTTGTATGCACTTAAAAATATTGAAATATGCCATATAATATGCAAAAAATATGCAGTCAAAATTATGAAAATATGCAAAAAATATGCAAAATTTTTTTATTTATTTAAAATGTATAATTCAACTTATAATATTTAATTACTTAAATACTTAATACAAAAAAAATTTAAGGAATTTTTTGAACTTAATTTATTTTTAAAATTTTATTTATTATTAAAATGAATAATCATATGCATTTCAAGTTTATCTTTTGTGAAGCTGTGTCGTTTATCGGTTAACATATTTTTAAAGACTGAAAGCGAACATTTGATATCAACCGAAGTTATTGAGGCATATTTGAAGCAAGTGGTATGTTGATAACCGACTGACACAGCAAGAGCGATTAAGTTTACGTTGTAATCGATTATTTATTTTATAACTAAATATATATATATATAAATTATTATTTAGTGACTATGAAATTTAGTTTTAATTTTTCTACTTGACAAAATATTATTTTATACATTTTTTTTTTGAATTTTGCCAAAATATGCAAAAATATGCAATTACCTCTAAATATGCAGAAACATGCAAAAAAAATTTCAGCATTAGTTTCAAATTATGATGATTCGTGGAGATAACTGACAATAATCCAAAAATATTGAAAGGAAAAAAATATGCAATTGCATAGAAATCCGCGCTCTAAATATTACCTACTTTTGTAGGAGGTTACCATTTCCCACCAAATAGATTCCTGTTTGAAAAAGGCATTTTATTAAGGTGAGCCTAATTGGTTCCCGAATAATTTTAAATTTTTACTATGTGATTTTCTTTTTAATTTTAATTTGTCAATTACTATCACACAAGTGTACGATTGCTTTCCCTTTAGTTATTATAAGTTAAAAATTCTTCACATAAACAATCCACATTAAATTTCATGTTAGCTTTACATTTTCGTTTTGTACATATCCACCTCTGTATATTATTTTCTGCAAGTTTCTTCAGGAATCCGAACTGGTAATCGTCAATAATCAACAACTTAGTTCCCTTTTCATTAAGTCGGTCCCTTACGACTCGTGTAATCGGCGAATACTCGTCAATCGTGCTACTTTACGAGTCGTGTGTGAGGTATTTAACGTAAAGCACGACGATTATTTTTACTCGCCGAGTCACTCGCGGTTTCCCGTCGGTGTCGGATACAACATAAATGACTCGTGCTGATAAGAAATTTAATCTTGGATTTTCCCCCAAAATAGACTATTATTTATTGTTAATTACACACGAGTTGTGTAGGAGCATTGGCGATGACGAGCAAAGGATATACCAGTGTGGCCAAACTTTTTTTTCCTCGGGCCATAAAAAACAACTTTTTTTTTATCGCAGGCCATAAAAAAATGCATTATAAATTTTTTTTTACGTAAATGCAAAATATTACAGTTATACAAATAAGTGCTGTAATATAGAAGACTTTCGCGAGCCAGATATTAAATGATGGCAGGCTAGAGTTGGCCCGCGGGCCGTATTTTGGCCACCACTGGGATATACAATTGACAAATAATCGGAGATCATACGAGTCGTGTAGGAGCAACATAATTACAAACATCGTACATCGTACAAACTTGGCAAGTACACTCGCCGAATAAACGCTCGTAAAGTACACGAGTTGTGTGGGATCGGCTTTCAACATAAACTCTATAATACCGCGAAAAATTATAAAAAAAAAATAATTAAAATACGTTCAAGGTTTAAGCGAAAACAAATTGATATAAATGACAAGTTTCATTCGAGACTGTATAGTGATCACTAACAATATTGTTATACCCATATAGCGATATAATAAGTGCGTATATCTCAATTATTATATTAAACGATCGGGGTATCAGCGATAATTGCTAAACCTCCGATATGACAATCTATTGCCATTTTATTGCGTACGTAATATAAAATGGATATACATTTATATTTTATGTTTTTGAATTTATGTTTTGTATCCAATTATTGCTATAGTACAACCTACCGATTATTAAAAATTAAATAATAAAACTGTGACAATTTAACCTGAAAACAAACGATAACCGATTCGACTCAACCTAATAAAATACATTTTTAAACGGAAACCGATTAGGTTCGACTTAATAAAATACTTTTTTCAAATGGGATTTTTCAATGTATCCGTAGTCAGATGCCGAGGGTTGCGCTTCGGTCCCTACCGCGATCTTAATTGAAAAATATTTTTATTTTTCATTATTATTACATGTATTATACATTTATATCTATTCACGTCACAACCAACGTCATGTGATTTATCAAATGAAAACACGTTAAATAAGTCCAAAATTATATTTTTGTTTTTTTACCACACCAACTATAGATAAGCATTAAATTGTTTTATGGTGCTTTTTGACATTTGATTACGGCCATCCGTTCATGGAATATAAACTTGCGGTCGCCCTTGGCTTGATTTCTTACCCGATCACGTTATTTTAATGTAACGTAATCAAAAAATAAATGGTCATATAATAATTACGCGACCGCGATGATTGCATTTCGGATGGGAAATCCATTAGGTACTATAAGTACAGGCTGTGGACACGCCCTGTTCCGTCTTGAATTATAGGTCGTCAAGTTTTAAAATTTTACACGAAAATGGTCAAAGCGTACACATGCCCACTACAAGTACGTCGTGCTTTCGTATGTTTTCACATCACGTCTTACCAGATTATCTTGCGTTCTACAGACGCGTAGGTATTACACCAAACAGCAGACCGTTCATTCTTGAACTGATCCCCGTCCTAACATGAAATTAATTTGAAAATAATAACTTACATGCAATACAACTAACATTTTTAATACGAATTTAATTTTAATTTAATTTTAATTTTTAATTTGTTGAAATACAAGAAATACCATGCATATGTTATTATATGTAAACTATTATAACTTTGAACTTTATTCAGAAATTACCTAAAAATATTTCTCTCAAACAAATCAAACGTACGCATGGAATTATAGAAATATTTTTACTAAACTATTTTATTTTAAATTGACTTATCGAAATAATTTAAATGTTTTATATTACATAATTATATTAGATAAACTGAGTAGTTTAACTGATTTGTTAGTTTACTCAAGTGCGAAATAATTTCTTGAATTTATCATTGGCGTATAATTATTTGAGTTCAATTAGGATAAAATATTAATTATAAATAAAACATTCACAGTAAAACCGTGTGCAATTTTCATTAGTATATTAAAACAAATCATTTATTATCGATTATCAATAATGATGCTGATCGCTTAGGTGATAGAAAAATCAATAATTTCATTAGTGATAAAATTACCTTTTTTGTATTAAATTTACCAATTTTCTTTAATTACTTTTTAATTGAAGGATTATAATTTAGTTTGTATAGCAATATTTATTCAACCGTTTTGAGATATTGGCCATTATATATGAAAACATTTCTATTCATATTTTCTAGAACCTTTCTTTTTAGATAAGAATCTATTTTTTACAACTTTTTCTACGTTCTTAGGCTTATTTTGTTGTTTGATATCTTCCAGAATTTGTTTAGCTCTTTCTGCATTCATTTTATCTGGGAAATTTGTTTTTTCCCAATGTTCATAAATTTCTTCTAGTTTTGTCACTCTAGACACAATTTGTCTCTCTGAAAATGTATAAATTTTTATTAAGATTATTTTTTGTAAACATATATTACTGTCATTAAATAAAAATTAATATTTTTATATATATATATATATATATATATATCATTTTACTTAAATTGATTAAATATAATTAAAAAAATACATTTTTCATATTTGTTTACTGTGTTGTTTATTTGTAATAAATTATAATTGGAAAATATATTGTCGATATAATTGTAAAATTTGTTTAAAAAATATGCATCAACACATGTGTACCAAACAGAAATATCATTGTTAAATCCGATTAGAATATATCATATGATTCAATTATAAAAATACAGTTAATGTGTTTTTTATTTTTATTTTTTTATTGAAATATTTATTTTACATACTGTTATATGGAAAACGATTTGAAAATAAATCTGTAACATATTTTGTTGTTCCTAAAATCACACTACATAATTTTATTACTTAATGGAATTAACTCAAGTATACTATTTTAATCATGAGATACTTGAACGTAGTATATACATATGTAAACTATTTAATTTTAACTTGTTAAGCAGAAAAAAGTATATTTAAGATTTAACAGTAATAAAAAAATCTTCTTAAAGGTGTAGCCATATTAATTGGTTGGAAATTGGATAGAGATTGTACTTGAGACATGTTACTAAATATAGATTACTAAATTCTTTAAATTCTTATCAAACAGTTAACTATAGAAAAAAATAAATTAAATAAAAATGATGAATATGAAGCATAATTACATAACAGTAACATTGATTGGTGGTACTAAAATAATTCCTAGCCATTCATGGCCAAAATTAAATTTTTAATTAGGATGTCTGAAAAATACAATATTGAAAATTAGAAAAGGAAGATATTTAAAAATAATACAATTTTATTTTATGACTTTTAACGTATCAAATGAAAATATTTATTATGTTTTATCGGATTGCCATAATATTTTATGAAATATTAAGACGTTTTATTGAACAAAAATAAGGTTATAATCCATTGCATGTAAATATTTGGCCACACAACTGCGACTTTATTCTTCGGAGTATTTTCCGGCACCAAAACGGTTTTCGGTAAATATTTTAAGATCAAAAGTGGTAGTGGAATAAGGTCAAACTGTGGGTTTCTTTAAAATACACTAAGGATTTTTAGTTATTAAATTTTAATTTCTCTCATCATTTTTTTCCCCGGAATCGGCCGCTTGGAGAATGGCATTATTATAATTTATTTAGTGCTTATAATATGAATGATTAGAAGAACTGTTATTGTTTTTGAATTATTTATGTATGTTTATTATTTAATAATAAAATATAAATTAAAAATTATTAAATAGTTAATACTAGTAAATATATAAATAAATAAATAGAAGTTTATCTTTGAGTATTATTATACTTGTAAAGAATGACCGGTTATGAATTATAAATTTATCGTCAGGTATATGCAAAATCAATAAAATCGTGAATTTTTTATATTAAGTCCCGATTTTATTGATTTCAAATATGTACTCATATACCTGACAACGAACTTTTAACTAGTCGTACTACGCAAATATAATACTCCAGACTGTGTTAGTTTATTTATTTGTATATACAAACTATTTGTTTATTTATTTATATGTTTATTATTTTTATTTTATTTTTCAACTCGAGCTATGAAAACTGATCTTAGGAAAATGTTTCACGTAACCAAACGATTCGCAGACAAATGAATTCCAAAACGCACACGATTTCATCAGTACAACGCAATATTAAAGATTATTCTATTATAATCAGACTTTTAATATATATATATATAACAATGTACTATAATATGTATATTCGTGCGAGTAAAAATATAAACAGGTATACTCGCTGAGAATACGTCAATGTCGGATACGTCACACAACATAACTATCCATGGTGTACGTGTAGTCACACGATATATTTTTTTTTTTTTTTATTATTATTAAAACAAGTGTTATTGACTATACGATATTAAAAGCACAAGTCGATTCACGTCTTCAAACCGGAGTATCTGAAGAAAGGACATTTTTCCTAACCACCTATCTTATATAAATTGACGAATAGCTACATACCTCGGCAATAGACGCGATGGCAAAAAAAAAAACAATATTTCTATCTTTAATTATTAGGAGTGTAATAAAAATTATTCAAACCATAACAATCACGAAAATTTAATTTTTTTTTTTTCTAATACCAAATCACATGTATTTGAAAACTACTATGTGTAGTAAGTTTATTACTTTACTATATTAGGTACAGTGGAACCTAATTTATGATAAAAAAAATAATAAAAAAATTCAAACAAAACCTGCATAATTAATTAGAACAAAAAAATAATCAATTAAAAATAAAAATAAATCCATATCGCTCTAGTGTCAACCCTAGAGTAATGTAATCCCCAGGCCGAACACCCCAGACGGTAACAAAATAATATAAAATATTATAGGATAGAAAATCGTACTTGATTTCTAGAGAAAAAATAAAGATGTATATAAAAATACATAATACAAACATAAAAGTATAATAGTATAATAGGCATGGTACGAGATAAAATATCAAAGTGAATTAATTTAACAATCAATGAGTTCTATATTTCAAGTATAATGTTCCGAATAGATATTATATGTTTTTAGATTTTTACAAGCAAACATTCGGTCATTGTTGTCGGTTATGTATGTGAGACAAGGTTATTATACTTCGTAGTCGATAAAATATCATTAATTTTCGTCATCGCGTTAAAAAATAATTGACTTCATTCATTTATTGTTCATATTTGATATGATTTTGTTTCAGAGTGCATACGAATTGTTTCAATCGACCAAATTTCAATAAAACTTTACTATAATCGCATTAAGGTTCTACATAGAATTACAAGTATTCCAGTGCTCTCACACTTTTTTTCCAGGTGATACTGATTTTGGGTTACATTTAAATGGCTAACACGTTCTACCGTAAATAAATATTGGCCGTGTCGTTGTTTACCTGCATATTTTCCTAACGTTTCGAATATACTACTCAAATACGATTGGAATTTTTCGCTGTTCAAGATAAAATCGAGTATGATGTTATTAATTTCCTTCAGTTGATCGACCATGGGTTCTGACATTGAACCGTATTTCGATTGTAACATTCCCTCGTGCGGTTTCAATTTTTCCGTGTGAGCCATAGCGCGTCTTTCCAAATTCATTATGCGCTCTTTAGTGGCTTTTCCTGCTTCGGTGAATCCAATGTACTAAAACCACAATTAATAAATAAATGTAAACTGTCAACATGTGTATCGTTAAATTAAAACCTTTATCTAGGTACATTAATCATTTGAATCGAGAAATTAGATTTAAACAAAATTTGAGATCAGTACTATTAGTTTTTTACATACTAAAAAATATATGATAGTTAAAATTATTGAAGAAATTAGTGTTCTGATGGCGTCTAAAAGATAAAACTCAGAAAGTATAATACAGATCTATTCGTTTAATATGATTTAATAAAAACACATATCTCATACATATAAATTATTTTGTTTAACGGAGTAAAGCCGTTTTCCTCTCTGCGGAATATCCGTGAATCTATATATTTATAATATCTACCTAGAAGAATGTCATTTGTAAAATAAATATACCCTTATGATCGTTTTATGATACTAATTTTTGTATTTTTATATGAATGTTTGTGGATACGTTGCATTTTCTCTGTCCTTTCTCCTTTCAATCCTGTTCTTGGTTGATAAACGAAAAACATCACAATTCATATGGATAGGAAACAATTTTATTTCAGTTTAATACTAACAATAAAACGATTTACATTACATGATTAATATATTATTGAAACAATTATTGAATTATGTGTGTTTGCAAATTACACAATGAAATTCAATATATATTTGCGATAATTTGAGCGTAGGTAGAGCGAAACAATCCATAATTCATATGTGTAGTTGTTTGCATCTATAATATGATTTTTAAAAACGGTAAGACAAATGTAATGCAACAGAATAATATTCAAATTATTTAATGCAACGACTTACAATATGAATAATTGTTCTGAAATTGAGAAAAGGTTCCTAAAACTTAATATTTATTGAGAATACATTGTATTAATCAGTTTATTTACAAATTTTCTGCAGTATCAATCTTTTATTCATATACCAAATGTCTGTGTTTTTTTTTTACAATTTAATAAAAAAAAAATCTGTTAGTTTTCAAAAACTTCTAAATTAAAATATAAAAAATTTAATTTAACTGAAAAAAATATACAGTACTTCCCAAGAATATACAGATCAGAATACCTAATATTTTTTCTTTGTTAAAAGCTTACCACTCGTTTTTATCATAAAAATCATAAATCATAAAAAGCATAAGTTTTTTTAAGTGACGATTCTAAAAGGAAAACCCATCAACAGATACGACAGATACGTGCATTTGCGCGATATAATCGTAAGTGAATAAAATATATTTTTCGTGTTAAAACTCACGTTAACGGCAATGACCGCGATGGATATCGTCAAAATTGTTCTTACGTGTACCATTTTATTCAGGTCTCGTTTGTCCGCTAAACTGTAAACAAATGTTGTATTTGCTGTCAGCTAGCTGTGCATTTCCAACACTGAGGTGGTTAGTGTATCATATAATAATAATTGGTGTTGACGATTGTTTTTTGGGCTTTATTTTTTTTCAGGAAAATAAACGATGCGACATAAGGACGCACGTGAATACTCGCGGTGTTTGCGATTTTCGAATACGAACAAGACAATTACGATAATTGCACGCACATGTTCACTCATTGGTAATGGAGGTAATTTCAGTATCCGTTTATGTGCGCTTTTAAACGAACTGCGAGAAAATTAAGTACGCATCCGTGAAAAACATTTGCAAAAATACAGTAAATAATATGTTGAGGTGCAGATAATAACGGCTGGATCACATACCATCGGAGGAGGGGGCTATTTCGAAAAGGATTTGAAACAAACTCGCGATGTAGGTAGCACATATCTGCTTACGACGAAAACATTAAAATAAAAATTATGACTTTCTAAGTAATGGTTAAAAAAATATCAATGAAACATGAAACATCCAAGACTGATAAGCGATGGCATGGAGTGGCGTGTCGTCGACTGCCACCCGTTTGCGTCTCACGTTTATCGTGGTGAGTCGACAAGTCCTGATGTACATTACAATGTACATATATAATACAGGGGCGTATTTAAGAGATGGGCCCATGGGGCCCGTGCTCCTCCATTCACCGTATTTTATACTTTATTTATTATTGTAGGCCCTCTTATTTTTCATGCACGGGCACACGGTGAAATACTGGAATATCAATATATCATGATAATATAATACCATCGATTAAACGAATTAGCATTGCTTAAGTAACACCCTGAAATAATTATAAAACCTGAAGAAGTAGTTGATGCATATGTTAATAAACATCCCAGACGTCTTCAATTATTGTAATGACAACAATTATAATTAAAAATATGTTTTATTATAACTTTGAGTAATAAAATGTTATATTTATATCAAATACTTGTATTTTGATTATTTGGTTATGAATAATGACAGTTTTTTGAGATGGAAAAGTAATAACTATGTATACATTGAACTTTTTGTTTGTGCTCCCCCCTCCCCCCATAAGACATTTCTAAATACGCCCCTGACATAATACCTCCCATAAACTCATTGCTATTGTACGTGAGATGACCAAATCGGCGACAAAACCTCAATAATTTACTTTGGTTAGTACTTATTTTCTACTTTATCATCTCTTCGGTACATTATGAATTTACTCATAAATAATAATTTATAAATACCTCAAAAAATGTACTATTATCAATATTTTATTATGAAATATAAAAATGTATTTACATGGAGAATGAGAGGGATTTGTTCTATTGTAATACAAAAATGTATTAAAAATAAATCTAAAAGAAAACTTAAATGACAAGTAGCTCCGGTATTAAATATACAAGATAATACAGAATGCAGTTTAATTTAAGTTTAATTTTATGTTTATGTTTAAGTTAAAGAAAAACTATTTCTGTATTTTGCTTTGATAAAAGCTTTAAATTACTTTAAATCATAAAAATGTGTGTTTGTTTAAATGTAAATTGAAAAACTGCTGTTCATAGTTCTAGTAATACAATGCATAGGCAATTTAATAAATTAATTTTTCTTCTCCCTCGCCTCCCAACTATTTGGAGTCGGCCACCTTTGTCCTAAACCTCCACTCGTCTCGATTTTTTATATCGCCTAAGTACTCACAACAACATTCCTCATATCTAACCATCTCTTTTTTGGTTTTCCTCTTCCTCTTTTCCCTTTAAACATTCATTTTTATAATCACTTTTACTGCTTTTTTTCCTTTTTTTTAATTTAATATTTTAATATGTATATATATATATATATATATTATTATAATTTATAACAATTGTAATAAGTTTATTGATATTTTTTTTTATTTGCATTATGAACTATATATTTATCAAAAATTATGAAATTTTATTGTAATTTTACAAAATATTTTGTAAAATCTATTAACTGAACTTTAATAAAAAAAGTTTTAGTTAGGAGTATTATGATTGCTTATAAAATTTAATACGGCGATGAAAGCAAAATACAAAGCACAAAATATAATAAGTAGATACCTATAATAAGAGTGAGATATTTCACCGTGTAACAGGTCAGATAAGTTACATAATACATTAAAAGATTTGTTGAATTTTTACTTCTATGCACATGGTGTTGATAATGACAGGTTACAATGCTATCGGGTTGTATTGGTGGGCATAGTGACCCAAGCTCAATCAACCAGACAGCTCTTAAAATCTTGATATTATGTAACAATCACATCATTCTGATTAAATATCTAGAAAAAGGTAAGCTATTTTACCGCGATGAATTAAGTTAAATAATATATATTATTATATAAACTAATGGTAGTTGGTATGATGATTCAGCCGAATGTGTAAAAAAATTATTTTACATCTGTATATTAATATTTATACTAAAAGGCATACTTATTCACAGTACTGTGCTTTAGATAAATTTATCTAGATAATTCACAAAATCTGTAGCTAATGATAATTTACTATGTATATAGACATATATTACCTACATAACATGCATAGGAGTGAAAATTATTTATAATTTCATAGTATGGACCATGCGGGGAAGTCTCATGCCCGTATTCAGGGCCGGATTTAGAACAAGTGCCGCCCTAGGCCCTTTTAAATATGCCGCCCCTACCCCAAGAAAAAAAATCTTGTAATTATTTCTAATAAATTTATTTAATTTTAAAGAAATTAAGTCAATAGTCATTATAAACAAAACAAATAATTATCAATTCTAATTCGTCGTGTAGGATGTGGATACACAATATCTCTAGCCAACTTCTATATATATATATTATATTATTATTGTAATTACTTATAGGAACAACTTACATTATGTACCTAGGTAGGTATCTTATCTTTATAGCTCACATTACGAGAAAATTGATTTCTTGTTATTGACATTTTCAATGTTATGCGCCCGTATATTTTACACACAAATATCTGTACTATAATATTAAATATTATATAATATTAATTTACGCAGTTATATAAATGCATAAAATATATATATATATATATATATATATATATATATATATTTTTTTTTTTTATTTTTTACAAAATTAGCCACCCTGGGCCTGGGCTTCACGGGCCTAGGCATAAATACGGCCCTGCCTGTATTACTATTGTTCTGTGGTATTACGAATGTCGAAAGAGCATTTACCATAATATTAAAACCAAAGATAACACACCATAGGTCTAAACTGGTTATTACTGCAGCTGCGCCAGGGCCGCATTTAGGATTTGTAGGCCCCTAGGCTCAATTGTGGTGTGGGCCCTAATAGAAAGTTTTTAGAAAATAAAAAGGGGCATACACACGAATAGAGAAACTATTAACTAAGCCATCTCTAAAACATTTTCAAATAATTTTCTACCCGAAATCGAGGGTAATGCAACTTTCTAACTTCTAGTTTTTTAACCGAAAATAATAACATTTAAAATATAGTAGGTATAAAAGTGTGGATTCAATTATCACATAGATAGTAGTTAAAAAGGTATTCAACGCTCTTTATTAATATTGCGACGGTAATATATTTTAAATAAATTTTTAGACGGAGCCTTTTTTTTTTTTTTTAGTTGTATGATGGTGTGGTGATGGCCCTGTTGTGGTGCGGGCCCATAGGCTACAGCCTATATAGCCTACGCTTAAATCCGGCCCTGAGCTGCGCGGTAGATGGTTTATAAATACTAAAATACAGAAATAATTGTCGATAATAAAATAACAATACTACAATACGCATTACGCTGTACCTACACAGAAATTGATCGTTCTCCATCATCATTCGATCACCTTAAATTCAATATTCATATATAAATTATGTCCATTGTTCATGTAATCATGTGCTCTAATTATTTTTATCATTACCGGACCCCAATTCTATGAATTCGTACTTTGATGTGTCTACATAATATTATTGTACAACAAAATAAATATTAGGCATGAAACATACGTTATTTATTAAAAACTTGTATTGTACGTAGCGCACTCTCATCCAAAACGTGATCAGTGTTTATCGTCAGACGGTTTTCAAATTTTTCATAATTTTATCTATGATTTTCAATTTTATTTTATTGGTGAAATATTTTATATTTTGAAATGGATGATTACATAATACAATCATTACCCAAGACCAAAAAAGTTCGCCTACAAACGGATGAAAACGTAGATGCCTTATACATGTATAAATATCTAGATAAAAATTATTTTATCTATCTATATCTAGATAAATTCAATTTCTACAGTATCTATCTATTTCTAGATAATTTTAAATCCAGATATCTTATCTATATCTAGATCAGTTCTGCGATAGCAGTCATCGGTCGTGGACGTGTATTGTTTCTCCCGGTGCGCTTAATTGTTTAATGTTTAATTCTAATTATTATTCACTTAGAAATTACCGAAATGCCTAAAAATGCATTAATCGACTAGCATTGTTTTGCCGTTTAAACATTACTTTCGTTTTAAATTTGACTTATATGTTCGTGTGTATCATATTATACTCTCTTATAAGGTTCATTAACAGTTATATTCAACGCGGCCGTCGCCGCGGCGGCCTTGGTTTTATTATAGCTGTTCGCTATCGCGCCTGTCTCGCTATCGTAATCGTAATCGTAATCGTATAACCAGTTAACTAATAGATATATTTATATTTATTACACTCATATTTACATACTCACGTAATAATGAATACTAACAATAATCATAATATCAAAAACCAAAACAATAAATAAAAGAAAACCATACCACCAATTAAAATGATTAACAAAAATGCACTCAATATATCATCTCAATCAAATGTCTCACTCACCTCATCAAATGAAGTGTGGACCATTACGGCTAACAAAAGAAATCACTCAAGCTCATCGACTTCTGAATCTTTAAACTCACCAAAAACACCAACTCAACCAATTAAAAAAAAACTATTCGCATCTAGAAACAGATTTGAAGTTTTCGGACAACCCGATAACATTAATGACGATATTCATGACACTAACAATTCTACTAATAATACTGAACAAATCAATACAGAATCGTCCATCAAATCCCCTCCTCCTATTTTTGTAAAAGGA